AGATTGTCTTGACCATGTCTACATGCCTAAATGCACTGAGTTGCCGCCATGTGATTGGCTGATTAGAAATTAAGTGTTAACAAGCAGTTGGACAGGTGTACCTAATAAAGTGGCCGGTGAGTGTAAATCTCAATATTCAAATTCTAATTGAAGTTTCCTCTTTATAAGGACATAAAATATTCCTCATTAAAATGACATAAAATTAGGATTTAGACCAAATATTTATGCATTATCGTAACCAACAAGACAAATTAAGTCATATATATGGATTTACTTATGATATCAGAATGATACAAGTATCAAAATGTAGCTTTTAAAGCCAGGAGTCTGAAAACGTAATTAGGTCATTTTGACCAAATTTGACTTAATCCTCATTTCGATATGAWKGGTCACTTTTATTTATATTTATTTACTTTAATGATTACGTTTTAAATTTTTGCATGAAGCAACTGTTACAGTTTCCCCCCTAATAAAATGAAGTATTTTGATTCTGATTCTTTGTCTCTTTTACTTATTTTACAGAGTTATATTGCCTGCTTTCGTTTTTAGCATGCACTCTGTTGAACTTAATTTTAGCATTGTAATTATTATAATTCTGTCTTACTTATTTGCATGATCCTGAACCTTAATGTGGTCCATACCGGTTGTTTTTAAATTTATTTATAAATAAATTTTCATAGCAAGTCAAATTCTAATCTGCTATGGGCTTTATGCTTAGAAATATCAAGTCAATTTGTCTTTTTTTTTTTTTAAATCTAAAATGTTTCTGTTCCATGATGGTGTGGAAGACAAACAAACCTGCAGTCTGGACGCAGCTGTCAGGTAGGAGGTGATGCAGAGCTCCCCTCTTCCTCCGTCGCAGGGTCTGGTGGTGAGGAAGGTGTACAGCATCCAGGCGCTGTGCAGCAGGTACACCACAAACACTCCCAGCACCAGCTTCGCCACCGAGCTTCGTTTGCCACCGCTCTCCGCCGGTTTGGAGTAACAGGAAGGAAACATGGCAACTACAGAAAGACCTGAACGAACGACGTCAAATAATCCAGTTTCCACAGCGTCCTCCGTCCTGTAGCATCCTTCCGGTTCTCAGCACAGAGCAGCGTCGGCTGCTGCTGCTGATAGAGACGCGCCTGCGCATGAACACGCGTTTACATGGACGCGTTTTAAAAACATGCTAAAGAAAAGTTAGTCATTCAAAGAGGATTCAAAGGCTAACCATTTGTCACGACTCACGACATAATAAATTACTATTTATGTGTGTTTTAATTGTGTGACTAAAGTCTAGGTCTAGGATTTTGCTCAGCACCATACAGAGTGGTGACCTTTGTAAGAGACGATCTTTGTCACTGCGGTGCACTGTGGTCGGATACCGTTTAGCGCCGCCTACCGGAAGCGGCGCGCAATGGTTTGTGGGGTTTGAGGGCAAACAAAAGAAAGTAAACGATGGGACAGGTTATAAATGTCTAAAGTTTTGATTGTTACGTGTATTAAAATGTTTATTTTGGTTCATGAGGTACCAACTTCTACGGAAGAGGATTAGGGCCACTGAAAAATAAAAAAAGGAATTCTGACTTTAATCTCAGAACTCTGACTTTTTTCTCAGAATTCTGAGATTAAAGTCAGAATTCCTTTTTTTTTCCCAGTGGCCCTTTCGTAAACTTCTAATCAGGAAAAAGGACAAACTTGTCCAGAACCTTTACCTGCTCAAATGTTGGAATTATTGCCTAAAATAGCAAACTGGACATGCAAAGTAGAGGTAAGGTTATACTTTTGTGCACTAATATATTGTAATAATTACTATAATATGGCATTATATTAAATATGTTTTTGCCAGATAAAATCCCAGTATACAGTGATCATATTAACAGTGCTGAGCAGTGGGGCTGGATGATAAACATATAATCTATATATAATCTTGAGGCAGGCTGACCTATGATTTATCAAATGTACGTATGAAACGTCCTTCTTGGCCACACATCAAATTTGGCTTAAATATTAATTCAAATATGTGTTTTTGTTTTAACAGTGGTAAATGCATTTGTTATTGTGATCTGTAGCTTTCTGTTTGGTGTATAAGGGCTGCCACGATTAGTCGATTAGTTGTTGACTAATTGCTTATTAAAATAATCGATGACTAATTTAATAATCGATTAATCCTTTTCTTTTTTGTTTCGTTTTGTTCTTTACTTTGTTTTTCTCTCCAAACTGCTTTGACACCTTCCACTGCCACATCTGCCTTTCTGTCCTTGACACACATGCACAGTAGTGATAAATGGGGTAGGCCGTGGACGTCACAAGACATTATACAGACAGGCTCTGGTATCATGGCTACCTGGTAACGGAGCTCAAAGTGTGGGATCTTTTTAAGAAAATGAAAGAGAAACCTGTGCAATATCTGCAGAGCAGAACTTGCCTTCCACAGCAATTATTTTTAGTTAGCATATAGYTAAAATCTAACCATGGTTATACAATAGCAGCTGAATTCTGGCACGATAAGCTGTATGTTTTATATTCAGTTAACGTATGATCTGATTAGTCGACTAATCGAAAAAATAATTGGTGATTAACCGATTATAAAAATAATCGTTTGTGGCAGCCCTGTTGGTGTACTGTATGTTATTGTTAATAAATAAACCATATAGAGAYGTTGTCAAGTTTTAAGATAGTCCATACCTATATTTGTAATATTAAGTGGTTAAAATGATCTGTAGTTGGGAAATATGATACGCAGCCCAGATCGATGTACGTCAACACATTTAGCACAAGATCTACTAGACCGAGTAGAGACAATCTTGTGTTTTCATTATTATATTTAAACTTATTTATTTTCATGTATCTGTGATAATTGTTGCACATATACACAAGAAAAATGCCGTGCAGCTACTGTATCACCACGACCCATTTTCACAGTCATTTCACTCACCAGCACCGGATGCCCCCAAACTGGACCATGATGCTTTGTGTTAGGCAAAGATGGCGGTATCTGCAAAACAGTCCATTTACCACATATATCATAAAAGCCTTTATATATATTTATGGGAAATACCTCGGCTCGAATGAATTATTTAACACATAATTTTACCAGGGTAATAACACCTGCTGGTGCCTAGTTTTTTTTATTTTTTTATTTTTTTGACTAAACATCTGAAACGCCCTGCATGTTGTACACACCGTCTGCATSTTTATTGTTTTATTGCATAAGGTGACAATTATAGTGCGTCAATATAAACAGCGTGTGGCTGAAAAAGAGAAAAGTAGCACATGGAAAAAAAAAGACAAAGGAAATATGATTAACAAGTTCATTGATTAATATAAAGATAAGTGTAGAAGCCTAAATTCATCTTTTCTAGTTTCAGACTCTTTAGGACAAGTTACTTTTTTTGCAATTATTATGTTTTTGTGGGTGATAATAACTATTTGCCAGCTAAATGACGTAGGCGTAAGAATTTTGCTTTCTCAGTTCACCGGTCTGCAAGGACCTTGTTCTGTTGCTGCAAAAAGATAGGTACTTCTCCATAAAACAACTAAGGAGCAAGGTACTGTATATAAATTCAGACCATAACCACCGGTGCATCTCTAATTTTTAGTTATTGCATCACAAACTTTACTATGCTTCTAAAATGCATGACCCCCTCTTCCACACAGGAAGCCACCAGCTCTCCATGTCTGCTCAGTGAAAACAGAAAGCCCTTCCTCTTGAGATGCATCTTGAGGTTTTTCCATATGACACGTTTTATTAGTGGAAACCTCTGCATCGCGCCCGTCCGCTGCCACCCACCAGAAGAGACAGCTGCCTCTGTCTCGGTGATTCAGTTCATGTACAGTGGCATACAGCAAATAAACTCTGGGTGAGAGACTTGTGCCCCCCCCCCCCTCCCCAAGCTGTTATTTCCACTGACTGACTGCTGTTTGGTGTGCAAAGTGAAACCTTTCAGCTTCATACATGAACAGCTGGGAACGCTCTACGGACTTGCATGTGTGCATGGAAAATGGAAGAAAGGGGAGATGGGTCAGGGACTGTGGCATTGATCTCACACACATCTTGTGTCTGGAAAGTTTTATAGCTCTGAACATGTTTGAGGCCATCAACTCTCATCAGGGCAGTTCATCCTCATCTGAATCACCTGAAAAAACAAAAGGAACCTGTCTTGGTAGACTTCTTTTAAGGGTAAAGATCTGACTATCGTTTTAAGTAAACTTTTTTTTAAAACAAGCTGTGACACAGTATTTTCTGAACAAAGGCATGGTACTGAAGCTTTGAGCCTCCTTCACCAGGTGGTCAGGCCACACCATGGATGCCTCTTGAGTTTACTTGGACACTAAGGTTGGGTAAAATCGAACCATGTGCAATTAATCATCAGAAAAACTGCCAAMAAYTAATGTTTGCCACTTTGCAATTACTGCAATTAGTGCCATGTGATGGCGTATGTTCATGTACGATGCACTCGTGAGACCAATGAGGGAGCAACTAATGCTAATCCTACGAACTTGTTTATTCACCTGAAACRCAGACATTAACTGGAGTACAAGGAAAATGGCGGACTACTTGCAAGTGCAATTATCATGTATTACTTGTCATATTTATCGCTATCGGCTAAATGCCACAGTTATTGCCCACTGCTGATGGATACTCAGGCAACAACAACCGTCAGTCTGTAAATGTGTGTATGAATGGGTGAATGATTGTAACGTAAAGCACTTCGGAGTCCTGATAAAGCGCTATAGTGCAGGCTATTTACCATTTAAAATCTGCAATGGATTTTCCCTTTGGTCAKCAGGAATACCACCAAGCCAAGAAAAGTGTAATGAAATCTGGAGCAAAATGATCTGAAAACAAATGTGAACTAATGGCAAAGATATTTTAGGAGGTTTATTTTGSAAGAACCTCTATAAAATGAAATAGTCGTTTGTTGTTTTTTAAAGTTCTGCATAAAAACAATTCACAGAGGTCATTTACTGAATCTGAACTCTGCTTGTTTAGCTTYAGTCTTTGTATAAAACCAAGAAGGAAGATGAGATCAAACAGGAGCCAAGCGCATCTCCGTTCATGTTGTGTACGCAACGCTCAGAGCCAGATGCAGTTCTTATAAACAGCACTCTGTGTCTAGGTTTACAGCGCTCGATTACAGAGTCCTGTCAGAGTTTGAGCAAAGTTTGCTGCACTTCTCAGATTTTCTCTCAACTTGTTTTATTCTGTAGAACTTCCTCCAGATGGTGCTGAATGCTGTTACAGCGGACATTCTGAAGACTAAGTTTATCCCAATGAGAGAAATAACATGATACAGTTAAATTAAACCCATTATTTAAAAGTCCAAATATTTGAAATATAAATTGTAATTCAAGAGACCATAGACTGACAGGTGTAAAAAAAATATGTTGTAATCCAATTCTGTGAAATTACATYGCAATAAAAAAAGGTTTGATCACCCCATTTGTGCCACACAGACTGCTGACCAGGAGCGTTACAATGTGACGTTTTGTAAACTGTTGCCCGAGTCTCCGTGTAAACTCAGGAGACATCCCCTGTGTGGCCTGACCACCTGGTGAAGGCTCGAAGCTCCAAATCTGCTCCAGCAGCTGGCAGGCTGTCTTTGTTTTTCGTCTCAGAAAATACTGTCACGCCTTGTTTTAAAACGGTACAAAAATATTTCCTGCAGCTGAAGGAAAAAAAGCTGCACCTGGTGGCTGAAAGACGACTAAATGTGGCACAAAAGTGATGAACTTGAACGMCCTCAGTTTGGAGAAATAATTCGTGGAACTGCGTTCCAGTTRCAGCGGAAGTCAAGATTGTGAAGTCGGACCGACGTCGGCTTCGAGTTGAAAGTGTTCCAACTTGATGAAACGTTGGAAAAAGCGTATTTAAGAAATAATGCAACAATATTACAACAACAGTGCTCTATGCGTCATTTTAAGTGTACAAACAGATACAGTATTTTTGTCTCGGAAGCCCAAAATTCTGACATTTGAGTACTAGAGGAATGATTTAAGCTTTGGGCACCCTACATTGGATTTTCTTTATAGCTAATATTTTTGGTKAATTGCCACCTCCTGTCCAAACAAAAAACCAAGTCTTTATAATCATATACTATTTTTTAACCAACAAAAATGTTCTTCTGTTTTTATATAAAATGACTTAAAATACTTGTTATAAGAGTTGGGTAGTAAATAGTTACATTTACTTGAGTGACTTTTAGGAGTATACGCTGTACTTTTCACTAGGGATGTCCAGATCAGATGCTCAGTATCGTATCGATGGCAGATACGGCTATTCTTTGAAAATCGGCTAGAATCAGATTTAGTCATGTGATCGGGCCGATCCAGTTTTTGTGACAGTTTTCAGCATCATCATGCTTTACAACTGCCGTTAAGAAGTCAAGACGCACACAAGTATGCAACCATGTCCACAGTGTGGGAACACTTTTCAGTAGAAAACAATGATGCTGAAACTGCATCTTGCAAAATCTGCAAACTGGATGTTTCTCGTGGTGGGAACAGCAGGGCGTGCTTTAATACTACCAAACTTGTCACTTGGAAAGAAATAAAGCTATTATCGGATCGGTATCGGATCGGTATTGGAAAGACTAATCATTAAAAAAATCGTATTGTATCGAGAGCCAAAACATCTGGATCGGGACATCCCTACTTTTCACTTTTACTGTTAAGTAATTTTATTATGATATATCGCTACTCTTACTTGAGTAAAATACTCTACCCACTGTGAGTAACTTCACTGAATGAAGAGCAAGCTTGTTTCTACCTAAAGATCACCAGAGACAGACACACTTGCAGTTTTTGTTAGTTTCATAAAAAAAGAAAATTTTAATTGAAAGAAACTGACCTGAAAAATGATTCTTTTGCCTGATTTTATTTTGTATTTGTGTTATTCAAAAGAATTATTTTCATTTTGATCTTTCAAATATCAAAATTTCCACATAGCTTTATATTTTGGCCTGCCTGATGATGTAATTTTAAAATATTAAATGATTGATGTCTTGATCTGTTACTCAGTACTTGAGTAGCCTTTTTTTTTTTTTTACCAAATACTTTTATACTCTTACTTGAATCATTTCTTGGATGGCTACATACATCGATCTTTATTTGCCATTTGTGCGTATACTAGCAGTTTACACACATTGGAATTCTTGTGCGGGCCTCTAGTAGTATAGATGATAGAACAGTAATGATAGAAAAAACATTACAAGGTCTAAGAAAACAGTATAAGAACAAAAAAAAAAAAAACCCATACATTTAAAATACATTTTACTGTTATTTGAGTAAAAATATGCGGAAGTAGCGCTACTCTTACTTGAGTACAGTTTTTGGGTACCCTGCCCACCTCGGCTTGTTATTCAGAGTAGTGCATGATAAAAGTTTTCATATTAATTATTTACATAGAAAGTTTTGGTAATTCATGAACAGTGGCAGCAGTCCTGATACTTCCCCGACGAGCTGTTAGCTTAATAATCCCATCAGAAATCAACTTCAAAATGTCCAAAGTGAGCTCGCTTGAACAGAAATCTGCATCTACAGATAGTCTCTTTCAAAGTGAGATTCTGTCTAGTTTAAAAAAAAGAAAAATAAGAAGGTCCTCCAGACAGTTTCTCCTCAGAGGACCTACTTATTTTTCTTTTTGATTTTTCTACCTGGATTACTGAGATGCATCAGGATGTCTAGTTTTTAGCACCATTTTCTTTAATCTTCCATATTCTCTCACCTCTACAGCTGAAATAGTTTGCAGGTACCATAAAAGTGTGTATGCAGCATAACCCAAATTCCTGTTTTACACTTGTGAGAAATCACACTTGTCTTGTGCCAAGTCACATGGAAAATAATCTTAATACTGTACATCAGCTTTTTATATTTTTAAATAATAAATAATAAGAATTACAAAAACAAGTTTGTCAGTGTCAGGACATTTTAATCTAGAAAAGACCCTGYTATACAGTCTGCTCCTCTATTTCCTGTTCCAGTGTCTCTTGTTCCACTCTTCAGCAGCACATCGTTGGTGCATAAGACAAAGAGGACACGAAACAAAGCCAGTGTGTGATGTTGGACATTCTTCACCTTCCTCTGTTGGAGCAGTGTTGAATAGGATTTCTGTGGAAGAGGACGTCTTTCTTTCAGATGAGAGAAGAAGCAAACGGATGGACAGTCCATGTTAGTTTTTCTTTTTACACATGATATGTTTTCAGGAAGTGCTCTCAAATAATATGTTGTAACATCGGCATAAATGTTTTTCAGAACACCTAGGGCTGTGGCTTTTGGGGTCACACATTTGAGAAACACAACTACCAAACCCACAGCATTGTTATAGCAACTGACAACACATGCTGCAACAAGAGAATATTGACATTTATATTCAAAATGAAAATGTGGACACAAGAACACAACATCCTGTTCAGTCTTACTTTTACGACCTCTGTGGGGAAATATGCTGGAAGTGTTCATTCCCAGCTGAGTTTTTTTTTTAGCTCAAACTGGCAGTGATCGAAACAAAGATGGCACCCGTAGATTTTTTTCGTTCTTCTTTTAGAAACTTTCAGTCAGCCCATCTACAGTTCTGTTCATCCTCATCTGATTTTATGAATCAGACTGAAAGCCACAAACAAATGACCTTTATAACAAGTTTAAGTTATTTTTTATGTATATAAAATAGCCCCTTTTTAACCAGACTAAAAACATGACATACAGTATATATATATA